TCCATACTTGACCTCATGGTAAAAAATAGATATTAAGACTTGGTAGTGGGGAAAAAATCTGAATATCGAGTGGAGATAAGAAGCAACCGATGATGAATGAGAGGAAAAAACTAACACTAACAGGTGCATGGAAAATATAACTGAATAAAACATGCAATATATATATAGACACAAATCAGGGAATGCACAGATTGGAGAACAGTGGCGCATTTGGATGTCAAACGGAGCCGAAAAGCTGAAGAATTATGTCTGAAATCAGACTTCTCAACCCTGCTGGATTCCCATTGGTCCAAAAACACCTTACTCTGATCTCAGCCAATCACAGAGCTCTGCAGAAACCTTCGATCGTCATTTAAACAACATTGAAAACATACAAAGTCATAAATACATCCTAAATAAAAACATAAATTAATAAAAATGGTATGAATAATAGGAATAAACCAACAAAACCCTCCTATTGAAAGATAATGAAAGCAGGAGTGTGTAACCATACCCAACCAATTGTGCCTCTAAAACTGAAAAGCTGCTGATAAACACAGAAATAGTTGGAGAACTGTTCCACGAACTCTACTAAAGTGTTGTATTTAATAGCAAATATGTTTAGTCAACCATCAAAATCACTTGGAATATCCATTAACAAGGTTAGGGACTTAAAATACACTCAAAAGAACATTAAAAAAACAACATTATGGACGATTTCTGCTTTTTCCCTTCTGATAAACCATGTGGCCAAAACACTATCATTTCATAATGGAGGGATCCACAAAAAGAGGCAATAAAAACTGAAAGCTTTTCTTACTCAAACTCTATTTTCACTGTTATGGAGTTTTAAAATAAATGTAAAAAACATCAAATGATTCCTTGTGGGATTCATAGTTAGATGGACTCACCTCCTGTTTGATGACAAAGATCCTCCATCTTTGGACTGAAGGTCCTCCCAGTTTTTCTTCTTCTTCTTGGCTTGAGGAAGATCTCAGCTCCTCCCCATTAAGAAAAGTTTATTTTTATTTATTTATTTAATCAGGACAGTGCACATTAATGAACAATCTCATACAGATTGTAAATGAGCCAGATTATAGCATAGTTGCTAGTTTACATCTTTCGTCCTGAGGCAGGAAGACCAAACAACACAAAATCACAAAATACAAAATCAGTCCAAACACACGTTCAGACAATGACATTACAAAATTAAAATTAATTAAATTAAATTCAATTTCATTTATATAGCTCCACATCACAACAACAGTTGTCTCACAGTGCTTTCCAAAGCAAAACAGTTCAGACCTACTCTGAAGTTAATTACAGAAACCCAACAATTCCCACCGTGAGCAAGCACTAGGCGACACAGGCAAGGAAAAACTTCCTTTTAACA